TTATGTTTGAACTTCTGTCGTTTCTGCTGCGATAAGAAAATATATGATAAAATGAATAATCACTTATCACGTATCATATTGATTTTCGGATATCTGTCGAGATAACTGGAAATCAAGCAAATATATCACACTTACACGCATTACAGTTACAATATTCTATATTTTTATAATATGAAAAATACGTGTAATATTTTAACTTCTTACAGAAATTTTCGAAAAAAAAATTTATTACAAGATTATCGACGACGGATTATTAAAAAGGAAAAAAAAAAAAAATTCTCATTTCCCACTAAACAAATAATAAAATTATCAATAAAAAAATCTATAAAAGTTTTATTATCAAAATCGATACTTACAATTTATCTCCCTCTTATCGCATCAGAAAATAGTTGTTTCGACGAATATGCTATCTAATCTCACGAAAAATAAACACGCCACACCCGATCGTTAATCAAACTTTATCGATAAGAGCAAAATGAACGGAAACGCTCTTCAAAACGACCATCATCACCACCACCACCAATGTTCACATTGATATCCTATCAAAAAATGGACGCTCGACACGGTGACACATGTTTACTCGCTTTGAGAACGGCTTTTCACGCTTTTCGTGCTACGCGGCACCTAGAGCCGAGGCTCGCCCTGGAATGGAGAGCGCCTCCTCTCTCCTTCGTGCGCGCCGTTCCATTAAAATCGTTCCAATAAAAGGATTTCGAGCGTGCACGACAAAACGTTCCCGCCACGAGGATATTCCGCCTTGGCGGGAATCGATACATCGGGACCAGATACCGTAAATATTTTAAAACCCGGGGGCGGCGCGCGTTCCAACGTCTGCGCCGCCATTTATTATTTACCCACGACGTTGCGTAATAAAGGAGCGGCTGTGGCTTACGTAAGCGGAGAAAATTCGAAGAATCGAATGACACAGTCGTAATACGTTTTCGTCGCTTTCCTATTTTTCATCGACCCCCTCCTTCGATTATTTGTTTTTCCATAAATTAGGTAATAAAAATTATTTTAATTTTCGAACGAAGAATTTTTTTGCACCGAGTTTCGAGCGTCTGAAAATTTTAGACGCATGCAAATTTCGAGATGTAAACGTAACACGGACGTGTGTTATTTCAAGACGTTTAATTGGAACGCGTGGAAGGATGGAAATTAGTCGGGTTGATTCCGTCGGTTCTCTGATAATTAGGAAGTTTTCTGAGGAAGAAGAAGAGTTATATTATCCGATTGACATATGTGTTTGTTTCGTTCGATTGAGATACACTTTTATTTTTATACGCGTTTCTTCGTCGCCTATAAGAATTTATACGGGAAGCTAGTGCATCTTATAAGAATTGAGGAAAAATACGAGGAATTTGGGAAAGTGTAGAATAATAGGAAATGCAGATACATTCTTCGATTTAATTACCTTATAATTACCGAGGTTTTCTACGACGCAGGGTAAACTGACGTCTCTCCCCAATGGCACTGTGACGTTTGGTATCGGCTCGGCAAACATCGGTCGATCCGAGAGGGCTGCAAAGACAGAAAATTCCATTAATTATGTCCATTTTCCATTTTTATCGACGAATAAGAAGAAACTTTCACTTGAGAACTTTACACGACACTTTCTTCGAGATTGTTCATAATTCTATAAGTACGACTTGATTTAACCAATCATTATCTGTCAACAATCAGCTTTCTTGATTATTGGCAAATCATTGCGAACGATATCGATGGTTTTTACGAGAGGATGTTACTCGAGACGATGGCGGTGTCGATCCAAATAGCACGATAGGGACAAGGGACAAGTTTCCAAAGAAGAGAGGAAGGAAGAGGAAAAGGAAACAGGTCACCACGAGTCGTAGAAATCCTTTGGGAAAGTTTCAGGATTGGTCAATGGTGAAGCAAGAGGGCAGTTGGTCGATCGCTCGACTGGAAGAGGAAACCGTCGATTCCGTCTCGCATTTGTCGAAAATGCATGCAGCGGGAGAGAGAAGGGAATCATCAATTGAAACGTCGAAATAACTACCAAATTGACAAAATAAAAATGTATTATAAAAATAATGTTATGCAATAAAACTAAATAAAGTTCTTTAAGATTTCTTTAGACGAGATGATTTGAGCAGAACAATATTAGTCATCATCTTGAAACTATATACATATATATATATACAATTTTATTGATGCTAGTTAATGCTAAAATGTTGCACATTTCATGCTAACGTAAAACGATAGTATCTTTTCAAAAAATAAATAAATAAATAAATAATTTCAATTGTATGGTAAACCTAGCGTCAAAAAACATTTCTTCGAATGTAATGGAATTGTATGCATTCAAGGATTTTCCAATTATTTACATAATCGCTTAGAATGGGAATCTATCTCGTCGAGTAACGATTCGTAACCAGTTTCCGACGTATATACATATTTGATGAGTGATTCGATATTACTAAACGTGTGTGACGTTTTGACACGTATAGCCTATTATTATTCGATTAAACAAACGCACGAGAATCCAATAGAAAAATGGCTTACAATTAAAAAATCGTTTCGAATAAAATCGATCTAACCACCGATTTATATAATAAAAATTCCTTCAAACGATCTTGCGATATATTTGTGCCCGTTTCATCGACGAGTCATTATTCTTATTTGATCTCAACGGCCGTTCCAGATTATTATATTCGAACCTGTCTATGTATGTATATATGTCTATGCATTTATATAGGCGGCGATATAAATCCGCGAAGGGAACTCTCTTATAAAGTCGCGCCACTCTCTTAAACTCCGATTATGATTGATTTCGCGGCGTTTCGAGTGGCGTCGAAGAATAACGTCGCGGATACCGTGATGATGGATCGGCCCGTGATTAATGAGAAGAATTAATCACGGTGTGGTGGTTGCTCTGTGTCGCGGGGTTATCAACGCTGATTTTAACCCATCTTCCAAAGTTTAGGATCTAAACGATCGTCTTTCTAATCCTTGCAACGACTTTCAAAAACAGTCAAATTATTATTTAAAATTCGAATGAAACGAGAGGCGGTTGATGATGTATCAATAACGCCAAATGAATAATATATTGCGGAGTTTGTGGTGTGATTTTCTTGCTGATTGATGATGATGATTCTCTTGATCAAAATATCGCTGATTGATGAATTAATATTTCTTCGATCATCTTCTTCTCGTGCTTGTACAAAATTCTTCGTTGGATAGCAATAAATTATTTTATTATTTCTTTAATCGTGATATTTTGCGAAAATATAAGTATGATTCAAATTCTCTAGCATTATTTTTATAAGAAGAAGTGTGAATACAATTGTATCCCTTCTTAACACGAGGCAGAGATTCAGAAAGTCGAGGAGCATTGATTGAAGAACTTTATATTTCATTCCAGACAAGTGTGAATACAATTATTCTGCGGCTCTTCATTTATAAAGTAGGAAGGAATTGCTTTCAACACCTTTTTTTTAATTCTTCATTCATTGAATGAAGATTTCATAGAAATAAAGAATCTTCGAGAAGAAATTCTACGCATCTCTGTCATGATTCATTCCTTGAAATTTCATTATCTCCTTCTTAGAAATCTATCAGTATATCTCGATTGTCGTAATCGATATAACATCCGTTCACTTATTGAACTTAGGGCGTGACCAATATTTATGAAACGAAATGTTTCAAAATAATATCTTTATCTAATTAACTCTTTCTCAAAATAACTTACAGAAAGTGTTTAAACTTCTCGAAATTTCATTTAAATATTTATATCGATAAACGTGCGTATCGCGATATTTCTCAAAATTTCGTATTTGAAAAACGGAAAAGAATGGAATAATCATTAAAATCACCGACAGAGAAGTTCCTTTCATAAATCACGACATCGAACGCACGTGATTCTCCGTTTCCGTTCATCCAGGGTTGCGGTGTCGTTCAACCACGATTGCCAAGGCGCCACAAGTTTTACGATTGAGCGATATAAGGAGCGAAGTTATACTCCGCTAAGTCACTCCATTTCCCCGAGAAAAGCTTCTTAATCGACCGATCTAGCCTCCTCTTCCCACCATTGCGTATAAGTTTCAATTTTATCAAGGATTTGTCGATAAAAATCTATCCAACGTTCATCGATGAACAATAAAACGATCAATTTTGAAACTCGCTTGTTCGAAAACAAACTTGAAAAATGAAAATTCAACACTTGTTCTGTTTAACACGAATACGTCGCACAACGAAATTTATATATCCGACTATTCTGTAAAACAAGACAAAAATAGAGTACTATTTTACGCTTAATGCATCCATTAAACTCAACTACTTAAATAAAATGTTATGTTTAAATTACTAAAAGTTTAAAATAACTTCGTAATTTGCCTTATCTTTCTTCAAAAATCGTCTCGTACTAATTTATCGATAAAAAATTCACGAAGTTCTTTTTTTGAAGTTTACGATATTATTTACTTACGTTCAAGCGTTCAATATTTCATGAAATCTCATTTTTTTTCAACCCAACGTTATTCGTTCGATTTGTTTATTTATAACAATTAATATCGATATTCAGGTCAAAGCGTAAAAAAAGAATAATCTCGCGTTCCGTTTCTTACTATATAACGTAAACATAAAAAGAGAACGACAAACGATATGTAAAACTGATAACTCTTCCACGCCTTGTTAGAACAATGAATGCCTTCTTCGGAACTAGCATAGATATTACAGCGCGCACATTGCATTTGACCAGTCGGCTTACAACTGTTGGCACAGTCGGTAGTCGCGCTATTCTCTTGTCTTTTCTCTCTGCGTATTCGATATTCGTCTCGCGATCGTTCGTCATTTGTCACGTTTATTAAAAGAAAAAAAAAAAAAAAAAAACGTTACATTGCTTCGATCGACTCGAGAAGAAGAAAAAAAAAAAAGAGAAATATAAAAACGGAGTCGAAGATTCCGATCGTATCTCAACAAAAATTCGACGCGTGTTCGAGAGAAATAAGGAAAGAATATAAGCGGCGGTGGTGGTATACGATTGGACGATCCAGGACGGCAGGGATGACGGTGGTGAAGGTGCAAGGAAGGCAACTCTACACGGATGGATACGCGGAGATTTTCGGAGTAAAGTAAAACTCTGCGAAGGAGGAGCAAATTCCTCTCGATCACGAGACACACGCGCGTGCCCTACATTTCCTATCCTATACGTTGGACGCGGCGCGGCGATGGTGAACCATCAATCACGAGTTTTATCGGCCTTTCCATCCTCGAGCCTTCACCGGAAACGGAGCCATCCTTTTTTGCATTCGACGCGCGATACAATCGCGTCTTGATGGACTAAAAATCCTCGGCTCGAATGTTCGAGCACTGTGAACCCTCCGCCAGTTTTCTGGGATAATAAACGCGTGAAATCTGAAATTTTCGCCACGTTTAAAACAAACGAAAGATAGAGAGAGAGAGAGAGAAAAAAGTTCGATTTCCGTTGTTACACGATATATGTACAATTTTCGATCGGTTTCGCGCGGGCGCGTGTGCGTGCGCGCGAGTGCGTGCGTGTGTGTCAAAGGGATAGGAAAGTTCGACCTTTCTTTGGAAACGAGTAACTTTTAATCGAACGAAACCTGATATGTAATCTCCTATCCCCGTTTCTTTCCCTCTTTGCGTGTCATTTCTTCCTTCTTTTTTTCCTTTCTTTTTTTTTTTTTTCACTCTGTTGGGCGGCGTCAAAGCGGAACACGCGAAAGGAGAAAAGAGAACGGTGGGCACAATAGAGAGACAGGTTGTCGTTTTGTTCGTTTCCTTTATCGTTTAGTAGCCACTGGGTAATTGTGTTTTTTATCTACCTGTCAGTTGCATATCTACTGGAAATTTAATACGTAAATGAAGGAGGAAGAGAGAAAGAGAGAGAGAGAAAGAAGAGAGGAAGATAAATAAATAAAATGTACAGTCAGGTTTCTTCAAATCGTGCGAACGAAGGGGGAGGGGTACGAAGAGTTTCGTTTTTATTCGTAAATTGGCCGACTCGCGGAGAGATCGATGCCCGCTCGGTTTGCTGAATCATTGATCGGCAGTAACTATAACGTTCGAATAATTTATGCCGTCGATGGTTTTTGGAATCGTGAAATATTTAGGGTCTCATGATCGTTGCGGTGTAACGAAATACCCGGCCCATTTGGTAAACCGCTGTTACAAACGTTTCCGTATTTCCACGCCGGTGATCATCAGGTTCGCCGCCTTCCCCGATTGTTCCAACGATTTGAGAATCTTTCACACTCCCCTTGAACATCATTTCCTCCCGTTGTCCATCTCCCGATCAATCCCATCCATCCTATTCACTGTCAAGAACAATTTATCTCGTTACCTCGTTGACGGACGACAAACGTCAAATTTCAAGTGGTCGATAATTAAGATGACCAGCAATCGCGAAGGGTGTTGTTTCGTGATCGAAATAAATCGGTGAGAGAAGAAATTTCCGACGAAAAAGGGAGGGGTGATTGAAAACAAGGACGGGGAAACAAAACGAGAGAGGATGAGATTATGGATACTGGAGAGGAACAGTTTGATCGCCCTAACGATCTTCACGTTCACCCTCTACATATTGTCCATCTATTTCAACGACACGATCGACGATATAATACATTTCAAACGGACCACAGTGGGGAACGACACTCGAGTCACAAACACGACCAAGAAAATCCTCTTCTGGAACACGATGTTCGACGACGAGAATTTTTACATGGGGAAAGGAGACGTATTCGTCGATTGCCCCGTGAACGATTGTTACGCGACCCACGAAAGAAGTTACGCGAATCTCACGGAATTCGACGCGGTCCTGTTCCACGGGAACGAGCTGAAGCTCGCCGATCTGCCTTTACGAAGGAGCCCGCGCCAGTGGTACGTTTTCGTGAATCTCGAAAGCCCGGCCAATAGGCCCCTGTCCGACCATTTTTACGAGGATTTCTTTAACGCCACGATGACGTACAGATTGGACAGCGATATTGTATGGACTTATGGGATCGTGAAGGACGTCAACAATGGGCAAACTGTGGCGCCTGACAGAGATGCACGTTGGAAAGCGTTCTATAATCGATCAGGTAATGTAAGTCAATGTAAAATTGATTCTCAATCTTGAAAAATATTGGAATTTTCGAAATATGGGAATTTTGAAAAATATTAGGTAAACTTTCTCTTTCTATTCGTGATAGAATAATATTCGATAAGATGAATGGAATATTTGTGAGAAATTGAAATTGAAAATGACAGGTGTATCCTCATGGAGGGGAAGGAAAATACAAATAAAAATCGATTCTATTAAAATAAGCAAAGAGGTACGTGTAAATAAGATCCGACCTTGTTTTTTTATAATGCAGTGTCGCAATGATCCACGCATAAGATACGTACAACGTAATTAGATGACTCACTTCTCCTTCTTCCTTTCCTCATTTCAACGCAGTTAGAGAATTCATTGCCTCGTGCGCAATCGGACACCCTGTATATGTAACTCTTATTCAAATCATCTCTGGAATCTAAAACTTCGAATTCGAAGAAGAAGAGGAATTTTTAAAAATTCACAAATTCTATCACAAATTGAAACGAAAAATTATTGAAGACTTATTTAAAACATATTTTTTCTTCCGGAAAAAAAGAAAAGAGAAGAAAAGAAAAAAAATTCAGAATTATTCCCAGATACAAACTCTTTTAATTTTCTTCCCACGTTTCTTACATCTTTTTTTTTTTCCTCTACTAGAAGAAGAAAACTTTCTTGATTACCTAATATATCTTGGACATTGATCACTCGAGAAAAGTTTGCCTCCTCGTCGCAAGTAAGTACCTGTTTCGCAAGAATGGTACTACATGCATACGTATATACATACATACATACATACATACATACATACATACATTGCTCTACCCACTCGTTTTTCCGCGTGGAGGACGCATCATCTTGTCCCACGTGCTTCATAATCGTCGCGGTTCGTAATTAATGTCGGTTCCCCTGCTGCTTTTGCTCGCTACGACAAAGAACGCGGCTATTTGCTGGCGTAACACGAGGCACCGCTGGCTGTTCTTTCCCCCTGCGCTCGTTCCAAACGAAACGGCGAAAAAAATTCGCTATGACGACTTCCTTCGCGTGCAACTGGAAAAACAGACGGGAAAATCGTTGTCTCGCGAACATAGAACCGAGGATGTTGCAGCAAGAGGAAGGGTGGGAGGGAGGCAGGCAGGTAGACAGGCGCAGGCAGCTTTAGAGATATTAAATTGCTTATAAAATTATTGTATCCCGATGTGAGCAAAA